CTGGGATCATGACCTGAGCGGAAGGCAGACATTTAACTGACTGAGCCACCCAGACACCCCTCAAAATGAAGTGCCCCAATTAAATTTTATTCTTAATGCTACATTTTTACTCAGCAAACTCTGGCTTATTATTTTAGTCAAACACCCTGTTGAGAACTCTCTCTGCTAAGCTATTAGATTTCTGTTTGTAACAGATTTTGCACTTTGTTTAGATTTTCATGTAGTTTTTAAAAACATTCTTGAGTGAACTAGTCTTTTTTTAGTATCATCCAGGACTTGTTTTTTTTTTTTTTTTCACTTTACCTTCAAAGGTGTTTTTATACTAACCTCTCTGTGGTGAAAGCAGTGTTACAACATCAGCATGTCTTTTTCAAGAGGAGGCATAAAACCTCTCATAGAGTCAGCCACTGATTGAACACCATCAGTACAAATGCCAACCCAGTTCCTCCAAGATGAACCATTGTTTCTAGATAGGACGATAAACTATTAAATATATTTTGACCTTTGCTAGTTTGGGACAGCAGAAACATTTTCTTGAATCGCACTACCATTTAGCAATTTGACATGACATTAGTGCAATCTGTTGGCTCATCAACCTGAATAGAGAAGCTGTTATTTTTCAGCTGATTGCATAAACCTCTTTAGCATCATGTGACATGTTATCAATGCATTCACTTATTATATTGTTTTAAAATGGAACCTTTTCAGTTTCTCAGACTGCATCTTTTTTAAGATTTATTTATTTTAGAGATTGTATGCGTGAGTGGGGGGAGGGACAGAGTGAGAGAGAGTCTTAAGCAGACTCCCCACTGAGCATGGAGCCCCACATGGGGCTCGATCTCATGAGCCATGAGATCATGACTTGAGCCAAAACCAAGAGTCAGAAGCTTAACCAACTGAGCCACCCAGACGCCGCTCAGACTGCATCTTATCCTAGCATTTTACTTACCATAATTTTATATATTGGTATTATTAGGTTCTATTACTAGTTCTGTGACTTTTCCTTTTCTGGGTGAGAAGTTAGTAATCTGAAATAGCTTGCTTCCTGAGCCTTTTCAACGAATGTGACTTTGTTTTAATAAACACTTTGTTGTTTTGAGAAGAAGGTGTTTAAAGTAATCAGCACCTTTATTTGCCAAATGGCTGTGGTTTGTAGTAAAGTGCTTTTGCTGTTTTGCTAGAACTATTACTGCATATTACTGCATAATGTGACACAAAACTAAATAGTACAGCTTGGGTTATCAGCCCGCATAAAAGCCATTGATAAGTAGGTTTCATTTGTAAAGATTGATCTTTTCTGTGTCCCTTATTGCCTAAGTGTAGTGAAATGACTCAGAAGATTGTAATTCTTCAGAATTTTCTGTGGGCTTCTATTTGAATCTCTCTCTCTCTCTCACACCTGAACTTCAAATTTGCCATATTGTTTGACATGCTTGTAAAACACAAACACTATTAATATATAAAACAGAATGGCCTTGTAAAGAACTAAATGAGACAGTTACAAAAAGTACAAAATTATAAAACCTACAATATAATTTACTTCTACACATTCTGCAATTTTATAGCATTACAATAGCAGCACAAGGCTTCTGGGGATAGAGAATAGATGAGTCATGGCATGATGAAAATTTTACTCTTATCTTCTGCCACACCAATATAGCTTGTCTATTCTTATAAGTCAGTCGGCAAATGTGTGTAAGAGGAAGTTGGTGGAGGTAATTTGAGGGAGAGGTTGACATTACCAGACTAGTGCCCTGCTTTCTGTGCAAAATAGCTTTCACCGGTTCTGGTGGCCTCCCTTATCATATGTCAAAAACTGAGAATGGAGTTCTCCAAATGAGCATAGTCCTACTGCATACTGACACATGGGACTGAAAGGTGGCTAAGAGAAATTGCTAACAGGTAACTTGGAAACCGTCTATCACTGTGGCTGGCATCATGTGGTATGCAAAGTTCAAAAAAACAAATAAAAAAAACAACACAGTCTCTTATAGAACCCATAGTGACTAAGAGACCCTGATTTATGGTAAAAGTGGTGAGAATGTATCTTTACATTCTTTTAACTGATTGAATCAAATTGGCATACAGTGGAAGTGAAACTCAAGGTGACGACCAATGAGGCTTTGTTACAGAGGCTGTTCTAAGATTCATTTTTTGTATTGATTCTGTACTGCTGAAGTTTCAGCTATAACAGTGATAACAACACAGATAGAGAAGGGGTTAATAATACCTTTTAGGTGCTATACTTTTCTAAGTTTTTTCCTAATGAAGAAAAATCTAGGAAATTATACTAAGAAACTTCTTCAGTTTGGCATAGTGAATATAATTGTTTTCTTTTTTCTTGATGCCTCAGACTAATTTTCGTTAAAAATAAATATCTTTTGGGGCACCTAGGTGGCCAACTCTTGGTTTTGGCTCAGATTGTGATCTCAGGATCGTGAGATTGAGCCCCGCATTGGGCTCCCTGCTCGGTGTGGAGTCTGCTTGAAATTCTCTTTCCCGGGCGCCTGGGTGGCTCAGTCATTAAGCGTCTGCCTTTGGCTCAGGTCATGATCCCAGGGTCCTGGGATCGAGCCCCGCATCGGGCTCCCTGCTCCGCGGGAAGCCTGCTTCTCCCTCTCCCACTCCCCCTGCTTGTGTTCCCTCTCTCGCTGTCTCTGTCTCTGTCAAATAAATAAATAAAATCTTTAAAAAAAAAAAAAATTCTCTTTCCCTGTCCCTCTGCCTCTCCCGCTCATGCTCTGTCTCTGTCTCTCTCTAAGATAAATAAAGAAATCTTTTAAAAAACCCAAACATCTTTTTAAAAAATGTTTTGTAGATAATGGGCACTGTATGGCCAGATTGGTGCTGTACCACATTTGCTTCTGACATTTTTAATGTAAGCGCTTGCTCCCCGTGGTCATAATCACTTAAGATACTGGTATCAACATTTGATTTGTCACCTACATCCAAACCTCTTGTTTGGGTCCATCTTGTGCCCACCTTCATGGATTTGTTCCTTACTTTTTTGACTCCTGACCTTTTCTGTTGAATGATACCCTTTTACAACTTAAACTTGATACTTGATTTTTTTTTTTCCTCTTTGACCATTGGTTTACCCACTAACCACAAATTGTATTTTCCCTTTAGCTGTGCTGCTAGCTACGGTGGATAAACAGTTCATCTGATTAGACTTGGCCCAGGAGACCCTTGGGACTTTCCTAGCAAATCCTACCCCAGCCAGCTTTTTTCTTGTTATACCAGTGGGACCACGCACTTTAGTTGTGCTGTTTTTTGTTTTTTTGTGTTTTTTTGAAGAGAAAGTGGGGGTGGAGGAGCAGAGGGAGAATCTTCAGCAGGCTCCACGTCCAGCACAGACCCTGATAGGGGGCTTAATCTCACAACCCTGAGATCATGACCTGAGCCAAAATCAGGAGTTGGAAGCTTAACTGACTGAGCCACCCAGGAGCCCCTGTTGTGCTGTTTTTAAAGATGACCACGTTTGTCATTACCATTTTCTTATAGAAGTTAGGCTTTGACCATTAGGGCCTTTTATGTGTCTGCCTTTATGTGTAAATAGTTACTGAATTAAAGACAGGACTATATTTCTTGTTAAGTGTTGTTATTTTCCTCAAGAAAATTATTGTTGCCTTATCTGCCCGATCTTTTCCTTCTAAATAACTCAAACCATGGATCTTTGATAAACCTTTATTCTTCAATCTGGTTTTTTTTTCCATCTGTATTAGTGTTTTGGTTAGGTTATAAATAAGGACTATTCCTCATGATTCCAGTAATTAATGCAGGGCACTTGATAAGTGTCCAAAAAAATTTTTAAGAAGTAACTCAAAGTGAGATGCCTGGGTGGCTCAGTTGGCTCAGGTCATGATCCCAGGGTCCTGGGATGGAGTCCCACATCGGGCTCCTTGCTCAGCGGGGAGCCTGCTTCTCCCTCTGCCTCTGCTCCCCCTGCTTGTGCGCTGTCCCTCTCTGTCTGACAAATAAATAAAATCTTTGAAAAAAAAGGTAACTCAAAGATTAGAAATGTATGTTTGTTTTTAAGAAGCTTTGCAAATTTTATATTGTTATCTGTGATAAAGTTTGGCTATATTTATCGAAAAATTAGGTTAATACACATTTAACTTCTGGATGCAGAAGGTTTTTTTTTTTTTTTTAGGAGGGAAGGTGGGAGGGACAGAGGGAGAGAGAGAATCTTAAGCAGGCTCCACACCCAGTGTGGGGCCTGATGCAGGGCTCGATCTCACAACCCTGAGATCATGACCTGAGCCGATGCTTAACTGACTGAGCCACCCAGGTGCCCTGATGCAGAAGGATTTTTAACACAAAATAAAAAGCAGGAACCATTAAATAAAAATATTAAAAAATCTTATTACAGGGGCACCTGGGTGTCTCAGTTGGTTAAGTATCCAACTCTTGATTTTGGCTCAGATCATGATCTCAGGGTTGTGGGATCCAGCCCCACGTTGGGCTCCCAGATCAGCAGGGAGTCTGCTTCAGATTCTTTCCCTCTTCCTCTGCCCCTGCTCTCTCTCTCTAAAATAAATAAATAAATCTTAAAAAAAAATAAAAGGTTTTATTATATTAAAATGAAATTAAAAATCTGTGTGGTAAGGGTGCCTGGGTGGCTCTGTCAGTTAATCGTCTGCCTTTGGCTCGGGTCATGATCCCAGGGTCCTGGGATGGAGCCCTGTGTTGGGCTCCCTGCTCAGCGGGGAGTCTGTTTCTCCTTCTCCCTCTGCCCTTCTTCCCAGCTTGTGCCCTCTCCCTCTCTCCTCTCAAATAAATAAAATCTTAAAAAAATAAAATCTGTGTGGTAAAAATACTATTATCAAAATTTAATGCCAACTTGTATGTATGACTTATATCTACGACATATTCTTATACGTATAACAGAATGTGGAAATTTTCATATATATATCCTCTTACAAATCAGTAAGATTTGGGTAAAAAATGAGTAAAGATCAGGAACGAGGAATTAGCAAAAGAAGGAATGCAAATGACCAGTAAACATACGAAAAAATTATCAATCTTATTTATAATCAAAGTTAGAAAATAGAACAACATAACAATTTTTATCTGTCAAACTAATAAGAATTAGAAAAACACAATAATGCTTAAAAGTTGGTTAGTATTCAGGGAAATGGACAGCTTCATAGCTTGTAGGTTTGGAGTATGAACTGTACAACTTTTATAAATATCTGTATAACCTTATATATAGAAGGCAGTTGATGACATATATCAGAAGCTTAAAAACTGCCTTTTACCTAGAAATCCTACCTCTAAGAATTTATTCTAGAAATATAACAGGATAGGATAAATATAAATGCTAATAATGAAGGATTGGATAAGATTGTTATGGTATATATTTTAATATAGTGCAAAGCTCTTCAGCCATTAAAAATGAAATGATTATTTAGTGATATGAAAATAAATGTTCATAATACAAGTAAAAATTTTGGACATAAGTATCAAATATGTCCCACTCTAAAAATTAGCCTTTTGGACATCCCTGGTTACCCAAGCATAAAAGTCAATAATGTTGGGGCACCTGGGTGGCTCAGTCTTTAAGTGTCTGCCTTCGGCTGAAATGATTTTTCCTCGAAGCCAAAAATGTGATCAAACCAATTATGCCTTTCTATGTGCTCTATACATAGTTGCATAAATAAATCATATAGTTGAACATTCCAGGAAGCAAAAGCAACTACACTAATTATAGCAGTGAATCTTTGCTAGTTTTTACTTGTTATTTGTGCCCTTGATCATATGTGAGAACTGTGCTGAACATTGCCAGGATATGGACCAGTTACATTAGTACTATAAAAAAATTTTCAGATCAGAGACTGCGCAAGAACAAGGAGAGGAAGCTAATGTTTGTTGAGGGCTTAGTGTTAGTCATTTTGCTGAGCACTTTCTCATATGGATTATCTCAGTTATTTAGTTGCCTTTTGTCACATCATCATGGAGGGCTTACTTCTTGCTTGCCAGTGTATGTGCCTCCATTTACTTTATTTCCTTCTTATTTCTGCCTTTGTGTTTCTTCTTTGTTTACCAGTTTACCTGTTTGTCTCAGATTTTCTTTTCCTCGGCTCTTTCTTTTTTGGCATTGTTTCTATTGTAGACTTTTATATCATTAACTTGCTTTTATAACTCCTGTGGTATTTTGATAGTTGCATCTTCCTGTCAGTAGGCTGTTGTCCTTTTTCGGCAGAGTCTTAAAGGGCACATATTGAGCTCTTTTGGCCATTATCTAAGAATTCTTTATCAGATATGCTTAGTTTAAAGAAATCCAAACATTGAAGATGAGTTGTTGCGCTGGAGCAATGTATTGTTTGCTTCTCAAATTCAAATATATTTTTTTGGGTATAATCCTTCTCTTGGTAAGTCTGTAAGTAAATTCCAGTTTTATCCCATATCAAATATCTGCCTTCTAAAGAGTAATAGCTTTTTTTTTTTTTTTTAGGATTTTTAGTTTATTTGCGAGAGAGAGAGAGCACTAGCAGGGGGAGAGGCAGAAGGAGAGAGAGAAATAGACTCCCAGCTGAGCAGAGAGCCTGACTAGGGGCTCAATCCCAGGACCTTGGGATCATTTCCTCAGCCGAAGGCAGACACTTAACTGAGCCACCCAGGTACCCCAAGAGTAATAACTTTAAAAAAATAGAATATGTATAGGCAAGAGGTTTAGCTGTATGCCAGGCAATATATTACTAACATTTTATTTTATTTAGTGTCAGAAATTTGGAGAGTATCACAAAGATGATCCAAGTTCCTTCAGATTTTCAGAAACTTTCTCCCTTTATCCACAGGTGAGTAGATTAAAAAGTCCATGTTCTTTTCTTACTGTTGACAGTAGCATTGGGTCTCACTTTTTCTGTTGTGTAAGAATATAGGACCTGTTGTATTGGGTTATTCTTTTGGTAATGTTTTAAGTTTGGGGATAGCTAAGAAATTAATATTGTGCTTGAATAGTCATTGAAAAGTGTATTATAATATTTTTATGATGGCCTTCAAAACAGTCGTTTGTGGTGAAATAAATTTACACTGGAACCCTACTCTGGAGTAGAATTAGGTGTGAGGTAGATTTGCTTTCCATCTGATATAAGGGATCTAATTATAGTAGTACCGAAAGGAAGTAACTTGACCAGTCAACTAGTCTTACAGCATGGTACTGTTTTACCTGAGAACAAATTTATGGGGATATACCAGATAAATAGAAAAGAAGCTAATTTGATTTATCTTACAGAACTTTTTTCACTTGGGTTGTAGAATCTACCTGTCTCATTTTGATAGATATTTTAAAAGTCTAGGTTGTTTATATGATGAGTAACAGAACATTTATTCAGCTGAGGTCTTTATGCAGGGAACTTTAGGAGAATAAAGATGACTGACACAGATCTCACTTTCAAGGAGCTTTCAGTCTGAAGGGTGAGATCTGAAATATATATAACACAGAACAGAAAGGGAGAAATGCTATGTGAGATATACAAAATTTAAACGAAACTTAAAGGAATCATTCCAAGTGAATGGTGTGATACGTCTTTATAGAAGAGGTGGCAATTTTAGCTTAGCCTGGAAGGATGATTATATTGAGATGTGGAAATTCAAATTTTTGCCCATGAACACCTTGCTCAAAGCTTCAACTTTGTTTTGAGAACTACTCTTATTTTTTTTTGATTTGTAGTGTAGAAACTTCATGTTTATACAGGGAGATGTCCCTAAACCTCTGGTTGCAGTTTTGGAGAACTTAGGAAAGGGCAGAGTCTCTTTGTCTTAAGGCAGGCAAAACCCTTTCTCGGGCCTCATATTAGCAGAAACTAATAGGAAAGAGAATGTGGGCATTAGCCCTCAGTATTTGACTGAATGCCAAACACTTTCCTTTCTTTCTCTTCTCTCCCAACTCCAAGCCTTCTTTTTAGGCTTTTGATAGTTGATAGATCTCCCGAGAGATCTGGGCCTCTCATCTTTTCCCCTCTATTGGAAATCACAGAGGACCCAGAAATAATTTTTTTCTTTGGGCTTCCAAAGCCTGATGCTCTTCTAAAAGGTAACATAGACTAAAGTTAGGGAAGGTTTTTATTTCTGGAAAATCTACCCCCAAATTTACCAATTACACATTGGTGTGAGTAAACAGGAATGGCTGAAGTGGTAAGGGATGAGAGAGCCTCTTAGTGAATTCTGATCACTGAGAACAGAGAAGGAGAGAGAGACCTGTGGAATGAGTCCCAGGCAGGAGCATCATGTAGGCACTTGAGCCCTGAGGGTGGAGGGCAATGGAGAGAAGTAACTGAAAGACAAATGAGAGTTCTTTGGAGAGCTGATTCTTTTGATTGTATCTGAGACCCTTTGATTGTTATCAAAGCACAATGTAGCTGTCCTTTATTCAGGCCAGACTCTTCCCCTTTTTGATCTCTTTCATATGAGGAGTGGGTGGAAGGACAGTGAAAGGAGAAAGAAGTAATGAAACAGTCTAAAGAATGTTTCTTAGGGATGAGGAAGAACTTAAATATTAAGAAACAAGTAGGTGTATGTAAGTCCTTTTTTTTTTAAATCAATGCAGATCCTTCCCAGTGCAACTTTTGGGAGCTCTGAAAAAGTAGAAAATCTGTTAGTCTATTTTTATGTTCTCTTGGAGTCTTTTGGTGGTGGTAAGGAATAGTAGTAAAAAAGTTCAAAGATGTGGCCAGAGAGATGAGGAATAAAAACGAAGAATGCTGATAATGCACCATGTAGCATCAGCCTCTGAATAACTTAGATCTGAGCAAGGACTTTTTTTTTTTCCCTATTCTTGTTTTCCTTTTGAGTCATCTCTTTTAATTTTTTTTATTGTTGTTAAATTATATTTTCAAGTAACTGATAAAGATCGTGAATACAATTTAGAAGGTCCTTATAACTTGTTTTTATTGTCTTAATAGTTCTAATTAAATGCTTTTGTAATAGTAAACTCCTGTTGAAGTAAAATCAGTAAAAGCTATCTCACATTTTTTTTCTTGTAGTTTATGTTTCATTTAAGAAGATCTCCTTTCTTACAAGTTTTTAACAATAGTCCTGATGAGAGTTCATATTATCGTCACCATTTTATGCGTCAAGATTTGACCCAGTCCCTAATCATGATTCAGCCTATTCTGTATGCGTATTCTTTTAGTGGACCCCCAGAGGTAAGAGAGGCAGAAAACAAAAATTGGTTTTGTTACTGTGATGTGTGTCATTAAAAAGTGAAAACAACTAAGTTTTTCTTGGAATATAGTTACTAAATACAGGAATTTAGTGCAAGAAGTTATGTTACCCATATATTCACTTAAAAATATTTGAGTGCTTACTATATGCTAGGTTGCACTAGGAAATCATTTAAAAAAATATAAAAACTGAGGTGGGAGAGACTTTTAAGATCAATTTGTGCAGTTATTTGGTTGATCAAATCCTCTAGGGCTTATGATTATCCTTTTGTCTTTAACAGTGTCCAGAAGTAATGATGATTCTAGAACCTGTAGCTTATTCCAGAGTATACTGTCTGATAATTAGGACATTCTGTCTAAAGAAAACCTCTTGCTTAAATATCTTATTCTCCTGTAGCTTTTTTTGAACCTAAGATACAGTTAATTATAAAGATGTATATTTAGAAAGGTGGTAATAAAGTCATCCATTTAGATTTCTTAGCAAACTGTCCCACTTACTTTAACCAATTGTTAAAGTTTTTCTGTTTTGTAGTTAAAATTGTCTGTTTTACCACTTACAAGTATGTAATGACTGTATTTGAAAGTAATATTTAAGAATGGTCAGCATAAAGAGAATATTTATAATATCTCCTGATTAATGATCTCTGGTGATGCCTTTATTCATTGTTTGTAAAAAATAGTATATAAAACATTTTGTTACTATAATTGTTTTTAATTTGTCATAGTGTCTACTTTTCTAGAAAATATATATTGTTAATGTGATGGTCTAGCTATGTATTTGGTTTTATAGTTCTTTGAATTGGGAAAGAAAGCTTTAGAGATTTTTTTTCTCTCATTTCAGAGTAATACATGTAAATTGTAGATATCTGGAGAATGTCGATTAGTGTTTAGAAGAAATTTGGAATCCCACAATCCTTACTGTCTGCTTCTGTTAAATTCCAACCTTTCCATTTAATCCACGAATCCCATTAGCTTCATTTACTTAAGGCTCTCTTTCCTCCATCATCACTTGCTCTTCCTCTGGATCATTCTCATTAACATAGAAACCTGAGTCACATTCATGTTAAAAACCAACAGACAAAACCACCCTTGACTTCACATTTTCTCTAATTGCTATTCATTTCTCTGGTCTCAGTTGCAGCTAAATTCAGAAAATTACCTATTGTCTCTATGATGATCTCACCTCACATTCTCTTCTCAACCTCCATTATTCAGATTCTTGTCCTTACCATTACACTGAAACAACTCTTACCAGGCTACCAATGTCCTACGTCTTGCCAGAACTCTCGACAGCATTTATTTACCTAATGAGGACTCTCCTCGAAAACCTTTTGTTTAAACTTCTCTGACACCTGCAAAACCTACTGGTTTTCCTCCTAATCACTGCCTGTTCCTTCTCAGTTTCCTTTTGCTGACTTCTCCTTTTCAGATCTTTGAAGTGTTGACATGCTCCAGGGCCCAGTCTCTGGCTTTTGCTCTATCTTCCCTCCCTGTGGTATAGATATGTATTGTGATGCAGTATAATCACATAGCTTTAATTACCATCTTCATGCATGTGATATCCAAATTTATGTCATTAGTTCTGGCCACTCCCTTACATTTCCTACTCAGAACTATTTTTCCATCTCCAAATTTGCTCTTTCCCAGGCCTTTCCCCTCTCACTCACGGGTCCATCATCAAGCTTAGGAGTTAACCCTGATTTCCTCTTGGCTCTACTCTGTTTTTCAGTTGTTACCTCCGTTTATATGAGTTCTCAGAAAATTAAAATGTACTGCAAGAATTCATGATAGCAAGATGTTTTTAAGTTATAAGATACAAATTTAAAATTTTAAAGATATCCTGGAAAGATCTATTTTGTAACTTTAAGTAATTTCTTTTTCCATCTTCCTCCTTTCTCATTGTTTTCTTCTGTTAGCCGGTTCTTCTTGATAGCAGCAGCATTCTTGCGGATCGCATTCTTCTCATGGACACATTCTTCCAGATTTTGATTTATCATGGTGAGGTAAGATTCCATTGCATTTAATGCTATGCACGTGTGTGCAACAGAGTGTTTTTATTCATGGAAGCTGTCCCTTCTTTACTATATGACTACTGTTTCCTCTCTGATAAACTTTTATTTCCATTTTTATAAAATATGATTCTTCTTGCCACTGGTTTTTAGACTTCATTTGCACTTGACCTGCCTGTGCTTGTTTTGTCCATTTGTCCATGTACGATTGGATAAATGGATTTTACACAAAGCGTAATGTTGTGAAAGTAAGAGCATTGATGTATACATAGGCATGCCATACTTTTGGGTTTTACCGGAGACATCGAGAAGGGAAAAGCCTTTGTCAAGTAGGCAGGCTCTCCCTTTCATTACTTCATGGTAATCATTTAAAAAGTATTCCATTTAATGCATTTAAAGTATTTAAAAAATATTCCACATGATCTGAAAACTCATTTTAATGGATAAGTGAATTAAAATTAAAATTTATACCTTTACTTAATGGGAATGGTACATGATTGAAAAGAGCAGAATATTTTAGTAGCTATTAAGCTTTAATCAGGTATTTAGCAGAACTCTATTCATTCCTGCATTTATTCATTCAGCCAGTAATTAAATGTTTCCTCTGTATAAGAAAGCACTGTGTTCTGGATGCCTTGAAAGATACAGAGATTCTTTTTTTCACAGACCCACACTCAAATTTATAGTCTAGAATTCTAGTAACTTGTGCAGATTTATTTTTCCAATTGTTTTAATTGTAAATGATTTTAGATTTGCACTGTAATTGTAGAGGTGTACTCAAAATATCCTTTTAAGTAATATTATCTAGGCCTTTGAAAAGATTTATTGATTATTATTTTTAATTGATACCAGTACTAATGTCCTTTAATTTTTAAGGATAATGCCTATTACATGACAGAGTGAGGTATTTTGCTGCTTTTTTTGTGTGTGATTTTTTAAAAACTAGCTTGTTAATGTGCTTAAAGGAGAAGTCTGAAATGCACATGACTGTTTCTCTGTTAAATACAGAGCTATAAAGCCATATAGAGTATATATTGACTGATGCAGTTAAGTTAGAAACCAAGCCCAAGTTTAAATTTTTGGATGATTTAATTACATGGTTTTTGGAGCCACTTACCTTAATAAAAGAATTGATTCAGATGCTCTTCTACAGGTATACTATCTTTATAATTTTATTGCTATCATTACTAAAGTTTTTATGTTTATATATCTTGCCAGAACATAACTCCATTGATAAAAACCTTATAATAGTAGGTGGTTAATTTTGAAGTCTCTGGGAAATCTGTTAACAAAAATCCCTCTTGTTTATCATAAACTTAAGTAGATAGCTTTTAGCTAATAATATAAATGTAGTGTTTAAAAATTTTTCTGGTTTACTATTTCTTTTTACTTCTAAAGGAGAAGAAATATTCTAATTTTGCATCTCTTTACTCAAGAATGCCAAAATTAGTGTTCTTCTTCTTTTTTTTAAAGGTTTTATTTATTTATTTGACAGAGAGAGACACAATGAGAGAGGGAACACAAGCAGGGGGAGCGGGGTAGGGAGAAGCAGGCTTCCTGCTGAGCAGGGAGCCCCATGTGGGGCTCGATCCCAGGACTCTGGGATCATGACCTGAGCCGAAGGCAGACACTTGAAGACTGAGCCACCCAGGCGCCTCAAAGTTAGTGTTCTTGATTTAAAAACTGATAAATAATGATTTATAATTTTCTTATTTTCTGAAGATTCATTCCTTTGAAAAAACCTCTTAAAGTTTTTGGATAGGCAAGAAATTAAAAGTAATAATTCCTTTAATTGTTTTAAAATTAGACCATTGCACAGTGGCGCAAGTCAGGATACCAGGACATGCCAGAATATGAAAATTTCCGCCATCTTCTACAAGCCCCTGTGGATGATGCACAGGAGATTCTTCACTCCAGATTTCCAATGCCAAGATACATTGACACTGAACATGGAGGTAGCCAGGTAAGTATAGTTAATTTGTTTGTTGTTAGTATTGATTGTAATGAGTTGTTCCTATTTGCCTTCTGACTTTTAATTTGAAAAGACTGTTTCACAAGGCAAGTAAAAGAGGAAGGATGCGGGTAGAAGGTCACAAGGGAAAATATGCTTGCTTTTTGCCTTAGCATTGGGAGCAAAGCAGTGATTATTGGCCAGTTGCTTAAAGCTAGCAGTTTCTCCCACCTTCTGCCACCAGCTCAGATTTAATAACAGAGCCAGGATGATGTTATGGTGGCACATCAGCTTTAGTGGGGCAAGAAGAACAACTTGGAAAAAATTTTAGTGTAGCTTTTTTAGTATAATTTTGTTAAATCTGTTTATTTAATGAAGAAGTCTGGGAATATGAAGTTTGCGGTAACATAATTTTTTCTGTTTTCCTCATTCTGTCATTTCAGTTTTCTAGAAAATGTCATATAATAGGAAAGCATTATATTACAAAACGCCTTGTGGATTTTAGCATTATGAAGATTAAATAAAGTACATGTACATATATACATGGCCCTTCAGGACCTTTCAGAAGGCTAGGTTTAAGACCCCTTAACATAGACTCTTTTTTTTTTAAAGTATTTATTTATTTATTTATTTATTTATTTGACAGAGTGAGGCACAGCGAGAGAGGGAACACAAGCAGGGGGAGTGGGAGAGGGAGAAGCAGGCTTCCCGCTGAGCAGGGAGCCTGATGCGGGGCTCGATCCCATGACTCTGGGATCATGACCTGAGCTGAAGGCAGACGCTTAACGACTGAGCCCCTTATCATAGACTCTTAAAATAGTTTTTACTTCTCCCTTGTAATTGTATTAGAGCTATAATAAATTTAATTATAGGTTATCATAAGTTTGTTTCACTTACTAAAGGCAGGTACCTTGCTTCATTTATTGTTGTTTCCCTAGTGCCTAGCACAGTATTATAAAATAAATGGTAAGTATTAGTAACTATTATTCATAAATGATAGTAGTTATTTTTAGGGTTTTATTATATTTATAATAAGAGGTACCATGTATTGAGAATTTGCAAAGCTGTTAGTACTTTAACACCTTGTCTCATTTGATCCTCATAACAGTCCTATTGTTATCTCCATTTTACAGATAATAAGACTGAGGCTTAGGTTACGTGTGGCCAAGGAAACACAGTAAATGAAGAAGCGGGCATTCACATCTAGGTGTTCTGACTCTAGAGCCAGTGCTCTTGTGTTAAACTGCTTACTCATGGATTAGAAAAAGATTTTGTGTGATACTGAATTTCAGAAGATATGACTGTGTTTTTCAGTATGAAATAATAATTTATGCCTAGTTCTCTCATTGATGTCTCATCATGTGTAGTGCTATTTTCCTCTTTTATTCTGGTTTTCATGATGATAAAGCGTAGTGGAGAGATGGTTAAAATGTTGGATAAGTTGTCTTATGGAATAGCCTACAGGTTAAGAAAGTTTGAGAGTCATTGTTTAAAGTAAAAGAATGTATAGGGTACTTTTTGGTACTTCAGATCTCTGATGACGTTTTAGACCAAGGGTTTAGTAAATTTCACACTAATCTTGTACTTGTTGCACACATAAATTTTATATGCTGAGTTTTGGATTCAGCAGTTTAATTTGTTGTTATGAATGTATGATTTGGAGAGAAGAGGGTGCATTTATTTGTAATATGTAGTGGCCCATATATTTCCAAAATTTATTTTTTTTTAAAGTTGCCTCTTAATAAAATTAATTTTATCAGAACATACTAAATAAAGTTGATTTTAGATCGCATAATGTGTTTGTTCAGCTCATATTGACTAAATCTATTTTTGATGAATAATGTTATTTCTTCTTCGCTTTTAAGGCCCGTTTCCTGCTTTCAAAAGTCAACCCTTCCCAGACTCATAATAATATGTATGCCTGGGGACAGGTAAGTGTAAATAGTGGATCTTGGAAATTATTTCTTTTGTGTATTTATAGTTTGTTATTTTAGTGAGAACTACATTTTTTTCCTGTGTATTTGCTAATGATTTCTATTGGAAAAGTAATGAAAAAATGAGTAGAAAATAGAATTAGCATTTGGTGGCACCATAGAAAATAAAAGGTGATCATATCAAATAGGTAGAATTCCTTCATATTTCTAGTTTAGGACTACACCCTTGAGACAAAAAGCAATATAGTGCATAATATAAGATAGGAAGTGATGATTTAAGCTTACTGCTAGGACGTGAACTATAAAAGGCCACACATAATAAGTTGGAAGAGGTCAGGGATTGTAGTTGAACAAGAGAGGCAGGAGGCCTGGAAATCATTGTTAATATATTTTGATTTCTTAGAAGTCCTACCTCTTGGTACAATATATCAACATTTATCAAGTATCCAATTACAGGACTCTGTGTTGGTACTTTTGGGTACATAGTGATCATCCCTGCTTTTTTTGTTTGTTTGTTTCAGTTTTTATTTAAATTCTAGTTAGTTAACATATAGTGTAATACTGGTTTCAGAAGTAGAATTTAGTGATTCATCACTTTGATTATCTCTGCTTGTAAAGAGCTGGTAGTCTAGCATTAGAGATAAGATAACTAAGTAATAAGTCAGTATGAGATATGTTCTTTTTAGAAAGATATAAAATATTACAGGAGTTAGAAGAGGAAGAGGGGAAGAGAGTGCATGGTGGCAGCAGGAGACAGCGTGTAATCAGAAAAGAGCTCAGAAAAGGGAACATTTCCTTTTAGAATGGTTACAATTTCAAGAAGTAGAAATTGTGTGAGAAATTCCAGGTAGAGGACAGTGTGGACCAAGTAAGGTACACACATAGGATGAATAGAACAATAAACTAGAAATGTATTGTGTAGCTAAATTGTAGAGGATCTTAAATGCTAGGTTGAGTGCCGAGGAGCTGAGTCTTCATTTAGTAAGTAATAAAATGTTACTGAAGGTTTTTGGACAGGGGCAAATTTGAGTCTTAGATAATATAGTTGACTCAAGATTAATTGAGAGTAGTCTATAAGTTGAAACTGTATTTTGAAGTAATCCAAGTGAGGGGGAATGAAGGCAAGATGGCAAAAAGGAATAGATTTTGGTGATATTTTAAATGTGGAACCAGTGAGATTTGATTGGAAGTTGCAGGAAAGTAAAAGTTACTCTAAATGCAAAATGTGAATTCTGATTGGATTCTGGATTAGAGAAAACAATAATAAAGAACATAATTGGGATAATTTGTGAAATTTGAGTATGGACTGTGTATCAGCTACTAGTATAATATTAAATTTCTTGATTGTGATACTACTGTTGTGGTTATATAGGAGATTGTCTGTAACCTTGGGAGATGTGTCCTAAAGGGGGTAAAATATCATGATGTCTTCAACTTATAGAAATGATTCAACAAAAGAAAGAAAAGGAAACATATAGAAACATAAAGCAAATGTGGCAAAATATTAATCAGTGAATTTACGTATAGAGTATGTGGGTGTTCATTGTACTTTTTTCTCAACTTTTCTATACGTTTGAATTTTTAAAAAATAAATAGTTGAGGGAGAACAAGGTAATGTAGGATTTTGAGCCTGGGTAACTAGGAGAAATGTGCCAGTAAGTGGGAAGGCAGAGAGAAAATGTTTGATTTTAGGCACACTGAATTTGAGATAACATCTAGATGGCCAGATTGAGCAGGCTATTAGAAATTTGGGTTTGATGATCAGGGCAAGAATGTGAAAGTTGATCATGGACAAGTGATACTTAAAGTCATCACAGTGAATACTTGTTCAGGGAGAGAGTTGAGAGGCAAAAGAAGGATGAGATAAACCCTTGAGGAAGTACAAGTGGTAGGAGTATTTTGTAATAGAGAGGTGGAAGGAAAATGAAAAGAATACCATACTGTCATAATAGGTGAGGGAGGGCTTTATAGAAAGAAGGAAGGGGGTTAACAAATATTGAGATGCTGCAGACCTTTGAAGGAGGATGAAGACTTAAAAAAGGTGGATGGATTTGAAGACTAGGAGGTCATTTGTGGCCCTGGTAAGCAGTTTTAAATAGTCGTTGAGTTCAAGATAGATTGTAAGGAATTAGTGGGTGGTGAAGAAGTGGAGGTTGTAAGTGTTAATGGTTCTTTTGCAAATTTAGTCTGAGTTCGGGTAGTAGGATAGAAGGATGATTCTTATTAGGATAAGGATACAGAACTTATGTGTAGACCAAGTGCAAGATGCTGATAAAAGAACAGAGTATAGATGTTTAAGATCCTCAGAAGCAGACAGTGTGATCACAGCACTGTATGGAGTTGAAGCATTGTTAAGGAGGCAGGACATTTCGTTCTGCAGAAGCAAATGGTAGGAAGGGTAATGACAGAGAAAGATGTTGAGAACAATGCTCATATTGGGTAATTACCTGTTACTTTTCAGTAATAGTGGATTATTCACTAAGAGTGAGATATGCTGGGGTTAAAGGAATAGAAAACAGAAAAGATTTAAAAACAGCTATAAGGAATATAAGAAAGCAACCGCAGGTGAACAAAAGGCTTTTATAGCAGTGAGGGCCCATTTTATTTACTAACAATTTCTAGAGCTTGTTTCCATTATGTTCTTTTAACCATGCATTGTAGTTAAGGCATTGCATCAGAGATGAAAGACTTTGGGGGTAATTTAGCACTGGAGATAAGAAAGATGGACACATTAAAGGGAGTGCAATGATTTAGAGCAATGTTAAATGACTGTGAGGTCCAGGCTGGGTAGAAGATGTAGTAATTAGGATTAAGGCCCCTTCCCTTTAAATATAGAGGTGCCTCAAAATTTTGCCCTGATTTCTCTGCATACATTGTTTTTCTGGGTGATTACACCCCTGTGGCTTCAGCTTTCATCCGAGGCTAACTTGCAAATCTCCACCTTTGGTTTGACTTCACTTTGAGCTATAGCCCAGAATTTCCATAACTGTCTGTTATACATCACTGGAGCTTCCTGTAGACATTTCATAAGCAACATGTCCCAACTTGAACTTACTCTCATTTTTACCGTCTTGTTCTGCTTGACTTTCCTATTTTTACAGAGGGCCCCACCATTCTCTCAATTCCCAAGGCTTGGAACTTTAGTCATTTGCATTTTATTTTCTCCCTTCTGCCCCTAATTATTCACAAATTATTTGGTCTCTTGCCCCTATCCATTCCCTCCTTTCCCTGTCACTAACTGAGGTCAAGCCCTTGTTACTATTCACATAGATTGTCAGTGCTTCAGCCCTGTTTCTTCCATTTTGGCAATGGCCAAAGTCGTCTCCCTGAAGCAGTTCTCAGTTAATTTCTGGGGCACCTGGGTGGCTCAGTCGTTTAAGTGTCCAACTCTTGGTTTCGGCTCAGGTCATGATCTCAGAGTCATGAGATCAGGCCCTGTGTCAGGCTCTGCGCTCAGCGCAGAATCTGCTAGAGATTCTCTCTCTCCCTCTGCCCCTCCCCTGGCTCACGTGCTCCCATGCTCTCTCTCAGATAAATAAATAAAATCTTTAAAAAAAAAAAATTTAATCTTTAATAACCTCCTTTGGAATTACATATAAACTCCTTATATTGCTTTTGAGGGTCCTTTGTTGCATAATCCAAAGTTTTCCCACTTTTAGCTACTGTTTTGCCTTTTTAGCCAACTAGATTTCTTATTTCACTTTGAATACAGTAAGCATGTTACCATCTTTATGACTTGTCCCTAGTAGTCCCCCATGTCACCACATGGTAGCCATCCCTTAAGGCTGGGTTCAAAGTTCACTGATTCCATGAAACTTTCTCTTTTTCTTTTTTTTTTTTTTTAAGATTTTATTTATTTATTTGAGAGAGACAGCATGAGCAGGTAGGAGGGGTAGAGGGAGAGGGAGAAGCAGACTCCCTGCTGAGCAGGGAGCCCGACGCAGGACTCGATCCCAGGACCCTGGGATCATGACCTGAGCCGAAGGCAGATGCTTAGCTGATTGAGCCACCCAGGTGCCTTCCATGAAACTTTTTTTATGATTGCATGACTCGTTTGGTATAATATCCCTGCCCCTTCATTCCTTTTTTTCATCCATTTCTGATGGCCCTTATGAGTAATGACTATGTCATTTTAATTTTTGACTTTCCACAGTACCTTAAACATAGCATGTATTGAGTATAATAGATTTGGGCAGGAGAACAGAGTTTAGAGTATGGGAGCTTTGTGGAGGTATTTAAGAGTTAAGGAGCCTTTATGATATAGATAAATAAATTGAATCCATGGTCTAAAACCCCTGAAAGGTAAGGTTTTTATGGTAAGGAAAGGAACTTACTCTTGGAAAGTGTGGAAGGGGGTATAGCATGTGAGAGAAAAAAATTTATGCCCATATAATGCATATACATATGCATTATCAGTATCACCCTCACCATTCCACTTGCTGTGAAATGAAAAGTCAGGTATACTACTGTGACGTGGAAGTTTGGAAAAAAGAATGTACAATGAATCAGCCTTTCCATTTTGCTTGAGTCATCTGAGTATTGGATTTAGTTCTGGATCTCACAACTTAAGAGAAACTTACTTAAGAAAAGAAAATTGAAAGAAGATAGGAAAGTAGGACCAATTAATAAAGTTCATGGAAATGGTGATTAGTCATTATGGAGAAGAGGAGCTTAAAGGATGCTTTAAAATAGTATTCATCAGGGGTCCCCTATCAAATGCCCTTGGGGGCCAGGTGAGTAACAAATGAGTGAAACTCCTTTAAGAAAATCTGATGCTCTCTGTGTGAAGAGGCAATACCTGGGGCTCTGGTGGACTAGGGTTTGTGCGAAGAATACAGAAATCCTTTTCTAAAGGGGGTAACTGTTCCTCCCCTCTAGCTGATCATTGCCATTTACATAATTTATTTAACAAAACGTTGTGAGCTCACATTAATGCAGACCAAATAAAATACATCTTTGTGGCTGAATTTCTACATTAAAAAGTGTAGTTTAGTTCATGGAAATAAAACTTGCTTCTTGCTTTTCTGGGTTTAAATTACAACATGGGGGCCCCTGGTTGGCTCAGTCAGTAGAGCTTGTGACTCTTGATCTCAGGGCTGTGAGTTCAAGCCCCATATTGGGTTTGGAGCCTACTTAAGAAAAAAAAAAATTACAACATGGAGATACAGTCTGTATGCTTATAAAGAACTTGAGCTGTTAAACATGGAGAGGCATCATTCTGGGCTGGTAGTTGAAAACTATAAGTTACTTATCTTTGCCTTTTCTTCTTTGTTACAGTTTAATAATATGTGCTTGATATGCACAGTAAGACTCAGTAAATATTAGTTATTAGTTATTAGTTTTCCTTGTTATCAGTGGGGAAAAATCAGTCTCTCCTTAAGATATTTTATTTTTAAAGATTTATTTATTTTAGAGAGAGGGAGAGAGAATTTCAAGCAGACTCCCTGCTGAGTGTGGAGCCTGATGCTTGATCCCATGACCCTTGAGATCATGACCTGAGCTGAAATCAAGAGTTGGATGCCTAACTGACTGAGTCACCTGGGGGCCCCAAAGATTTTTTTTTTTTTTTCAAAGATATTTTAAATAGGAAAGAAAACCTGTTTTAAACTTTGAAGTTTAATTATTATGACCTGGAAGTAGAGGCATTAGAGGCATAAACAAGAACCCTAAGGTCTTTCTTGACCTATGCTTTTTGTAAGAGAAATTATGTTAATATTTTTATAGATAATAACTGATAAACTGAATCTATCCTGTTTTAGTTCCTGTGCTGAGCTTCTTATGCACTCCTATTTAATCATTAAAACACTCTTATGAGGTGGTTACTATTAACTCTATTTTTCAGAAGAGGAAATTACGTTTAAACAGCTTAAGTAACTTATCCAAGATCACATAGCTAAACTGTGGCAGGGTCTGGATTGGACCCTAGACCACTCTGACTGGAGAATCTGAATTTTTAATCATTAAGCTAAACCAGTGATTGCAATTTAGGGAGTTAACTTGGTAGCCAAGCATTTTACTAAAAATTATACAATCTTACATTTTAGTTTTCTTTTTGTCAGCGATCAAGTACCAGCGGTAAGTTTTATCCATGGATGGCCTGAAGAGGGCGCCACTGCAACACTGCTTCCCCACTGCTGTCGTGCTTCCTACGTTCAGTGATAGAAAGCTTGGCTCTTTCTGCCTAATCGTGGATATATTTTAAGGAGAAAAAGGGTGCAGTTGAAAAATTAAGATCAATCAACTGCAAATTTTTGATAAGACTGAGTTGAGCATATAATTTCAAATAAGATCTCTACAGTATATAAATTAGAAAATTGATGCGTATTTTGTCTTGACCGGGAGAAATAGATCTGGGATTGGGTGAGTTGAGGTGGAAAACGTGTAAATTGAAAGAAAATCAGGAATAGTTACAGAAAGAAAAAAAGCAAGAGTTACCAGGTTATTATTAGTCTAAGTCATATCTTTGAGGCCTTTGCTTCTCTCTGTGTTAACTATGAATGTACAATAAGGAAAAATACTTCAGTGTTATAAAATAATAGATTTTTCAAAAGAGGTAATAATATAGCTCAAACATGTTGTATTCCTGCTATGTGTCAGGTATTGTTCTGGTTTCCTTACACAGTTGAACTCATTTAATCATTATAACAACCATATGAAATAGGTCCTGTTGTTATCCTTATTTTACAAATGAGGAAACTAAGACACAGAGAGGTTAAGTAATGTATGTTCCTCAAAATCATGCAAGCGGTAAGTGGCTGAGCGAGGAATTGAGCCCATGCAGTCTGGCTCCAAACTCCAAGCTCTTATTCCCAGTGCTGTTGTCTCCCTTCATTGTCAAGTTTTTCAAGTTTTTATAATTAACGTGTGAAAACACATAATAAAATTGATTTTCCTTTATTCAGGAGAGGTTATGGCCTGTCTCTGGCAATGCCAGACTAGAATTTACAAGAGCTATAAATTCCCATCTCCTATTTGTTACCCACTTGCTGATCTCTAAAAATTACTTTACTTCTTTGTTTTAGGTTTTTTATATTTACTTATAAATGAGAACTTGAGTATCGGGTGAAAAATTTAAAAATCCAGATATAAAATCTTTCAGAAAACCTTTTTCTTGCTACAATAGAATTGTACTATTAGTGGTTTGGATTAGTGAAAGTCATTCTGTCAACACAGTTTTTATTAAAATAGAAGTTAGGAATTTTCCTTAACTCTTGTTAATTAGAACCCATGGAGATCAATTAAAATGACTTGAATGAAAACAGTAAACATAGTTTATTTTAAAAATACTGTAAATGTACTTCTTTCCAGCTGGCATGTCTGTTAAAATATGTGCAATTTCTTTTTTTTAAAATTTCATTTATTTATTAGAGCACAATCAGGGGAAACCGCAGTGGGGAAGGGAGAGAGAGAGAATCGCTTAAGCAGATTTCTCACTGAGCACAGGGCCAGACATGGGGCTCGATACCAGGATCCCGAGACCATGACCTGAGCAGAAACCAAGAGTCAAATGCTCCTGAGACACCTAGGCACCCCAAAATATGTGCAATTTCAGTTTTATTTAGTAGTCAGGCTGCAATAATCTCACCAAGCCATTTATTTATTTATTCCTTAGTAGTGATAAAGCGCCAATATATTCAAGACAAATGAACACTTCACTACTGTAAAGATTAAGTTGGGTATGTAGCTATTCTGATTCTGCAGTGCAAATCTGATCCTGACCACTTGGGGTAGTGCAGACTCCACCAGTTAAAGGACATGGTTCACAGCAAGCCTGCCCCCAACTTCAGGTGCTGGCTGTAAGTAGGATCCTGCACCTCTGACCAACTAGCTACAAATCTGTGTGGGTGTGTGGGGGGGTATTCCCCACACCCCCCACCCCCACCTCAGGTTTGACAGCTCCCTAGAACAACTCACAGAACTCGGGAAAGCACTGTATTTATGATCACAGTTTTATTATAAAGATTGCAAATAAGGACCAGCGAAGAGACCCCACAGAGTGAGGTCTAGGAGGCTTTCAGATACAGAGCTTCTGTGTTCTTTCACTGTGGAATCAGAATGTGTCACCTTCCTAGCATATTGATAAATTTGTTAGCAAGCTCCACTGAGCTTTGGTATCCAGAGTTTGTTTCTTTACTACCACGCCTGATTGATTGAATCTCCAGCTCCCTTCTTCTTTTCCCTCCCTTGACCTCACTTCCCCTCCCTAGAGGTCAGGCTGTCTTTTTTTTTTTTTTAAGATTTTATTTATTTATTTGACAGAGACAAAGCGAGAGAAGGAACACAAGCAGGGGAGTGGGAGAGGGAGAAGCAGGCTTCCCGCTGAGCAGGGAGCCTGATGCGGGGCTCCATCCCAGGACCCTGGGATCATGACCTGAGCTGAAGGCAGACACTTAACGACTGAGCCACCCAGGCGCCCCGAGGTCAGGCTGTCTTAAGTCCCCAGTCCTCTAATCACATGTTGATCTTTCTGGTGACTGGCCCCCATCCTAATTCATCTCATCTCAAAGCATGAACTCAGCTGTGATCTGAGGGGTTTATGAATAACAAAGACATTATTAGGAAATTCCAAGGATGTAGTCTCCCTCTGAGGAACCAGGGATAAAGGCCATTCGGATTCTTTATTTTACAACAGGAGCATAGGCATTATTCTGCTTACAATGATTCCTTGTCTGTTTTAAACATTTGCTTATACATTTTAAGGTATTACTCTATGTTTTAATCATGGCAAATATCTTTCTTTTCCTCTAGGAATCTGGAGCACCTATTCTCACAGATGATGTTAGTTTACAAGTGTTTATGGATCACTTGAAGAAACTTGCTGTGTCAAGTGCTGCTTGAAGTGCTAAACATATTAAGGACACTTAAGAAGATGAAATTATTTCAATTTCATTTTTTTCCTTTTTCAGTTTATCTGTGGAAACTAACAGGTATCTCTAGACTCTTTGTATTAGTATGGTTTGAGACAACATGTGGAAAAATGTTCACATTTGTAGATTAAGCTGGAATATAAGAGCAATAAGAACAAATTTATTTAGTTTGCCACAGTATTATGACTGGTTTTAGAAATCTGAGGTCTTTATAACTTAATTATGTTAAAGAGTAAAAATGGAGTTGGCCTTGTATTACAGAGATGTAACTTGTTTGTATATTATAGAAAAATCCAAAGTGGCACTGAATGTCCTTGCTAACTTTTTGAAAACTTGTTTCTTGATTTTAACCAGAAAGTGAACAAAATCATCAACAGTAATGATAAATGTGAACATTTTTGCCTGTTCATTGAAATATATCTGTGATTTTCAAGCACTTATGCGTATACTTTTTCTGTACTTATTCTGTTAAGGCAGATTTATTTTTATGATGATTTGCTTAGGAATTCTTTGACTTTATATAAGGTAATTTTCACAAAGATAATTTAATGTTTTTGGTCATTTGGAAAAATAGTTTAGAGATGAAAAGTTTCTGGGGTAGCAGTTCCATAACAGACAAAAAATGTGAAATTTCCATAAAGTACCCAACTTACGTGATTAGACATGATAATTTTTTTTTTAAAAGGGTAATAGAAAATAAACAAACCATTTTGTCATAATGTATTTTAGGAAGTCTGCAGTAAAGTAACTGTTGTCACTACTAAACCAAAATTGATTTTTACTGCATGGTTATGCTGTTTTCCCTTGTTTTCTGAAGTAAATTTTACATATATCCTTCAGTATTTTAACACTATTTTGGGAGTTTACATATTACTTTTTATTTTTGCTTCCATTTTGTGAAATGTATTAAGTTCTTATTGAAACAGTATTATGTAATATTTTGTTGGATGATATCATGTGGTGATGCTCAGTTTTATTTTGATTTATTCATTAGTATCATTCACTTTTACCTTTTAAAGTTTACTTGTAGCAAATGTTTACATTGCTAAAGCCAGATGTTTGACAATGAAATTTATATCAAGTACTGCAAATAAAAGGTGGTGCTATGATAAATGCTTAGAAGGGCAGTTTGATGATTGTACTTGCATGAACACAATCATATGATAAAACAGAAACTTAAAAAAATTGTTCATATGTTATATTCAGTTAAATAAATTTCTCTGTTCCATTTGAATTGAACTGTGCTAGGCCTAAATACCAATAAAATATACTTTTTCTGTGTTTTCCTGCTTATTTTGAAGTCTAGTAAAGCCTGAGAAGCCTAATGTAAAATTAGAGCAGTTATATAATATGCTATGAGCAGATGAAAAAGTGTTCATTTTTTAAAAAATGGCAGCTTTATTGGGACATAATTCACATACCACACAGTTCACCCATTTAAAGTGTATAGCTCAGTGATTTTTAGAATATTCAGAGTTGTGTAATCAATTTTAGAGCATTTTCATCTTTCCCAAAGTAGTAGTTTTTGCTATAAGGAAACTGTGTTTTGGAGTTAACATATTTTGAATTGAATTAAGCTCCTGTGATGATGATACATGTTTAATTTGCGTGGCCCCTTAGCTTACGCTCTTTAAGAATGCATTGTTATTCTTGAGTGATAAGTGAGTACTTACCACAGAACTGTCCTTTACTTCTAAATCAATTACAGCTGAAGGTGCTAAAGTACCTCTGTATTTAAGGGATAAGGAGGAACAAATATATCGTCATACCCCCATTTAGGGTTGAAAGAAAGCACCTGGGATCTGTTTGTGTATAATTTAGCTATTACTAAATTGCTATCTATTTAAATAGATTATTGAGGGACGCCTGGGTGGCTCAGTCGAGTGTCTGCCTTTGGCTCAGGTCATGATCCCAGGGTCCTGGGATCGAGTCCCGCATCGGGCTCCTTGCTCAGTGGGGGAGCCTGCTTCTCCCTCTACCTGCCGCTCCCCCTGCTTGTGTGCGCTCTCTCTGGCAAATAAATAAATAAATAAATAGATTATTGAAGAAGACTGTTTAACCCTTTTAATGAAATTTAGAGTAGATAAAGAATATTTGTTAAATTGTTAGCAGCACTGAGAAGCTTTGGTATGTCCACAACTATTTTGTAATTCACTATTGAACCTACTATCCCTAGTGGCCTTATCTCTAAAAACAACTTTAGACGTCATCTTTGTACACTTATATTTTGTTGTAACAAGATAAACTTACTCTTTTATTGGCTGATTCCAAAAGTGAGCTGACATTTTCTCTATCCAGGGCCCCACTTGATAAACTTCCCTCTTATATTCCCTAGCCCATGGACTGCACCTGATGAATGTGCTTGTTGTCTAGTCCAGGCCAGAAACCAATGAATCATTTTCAGTTCTTATTCTCCACAACATCTTTAGTAACCAAATTCTACCAGGTTGGCCTCTTCAATATCTCCCTATTCTATTTGCTGTTTTCCATTTTACTGCTCTTCTGCCTTCATCATATCTCATGTGTTTGGTGCTTTCCCCAGTCTCCTCCAGCCCTCTCTTCAATTCACTGAAATACAAATTTGATTATGTCATTCCCTTTGCCCTCATAATAAACTCCAAACACTTCGACCTGGTAACATTGGATACTACACATCAATTGGATCCCAGGTATCTCTTAGAAAATTAGCACAAAAGACACAGTTGAGAAGGTATAGTATTGGAGAGGGGTCTCTAGTTCTACCTAAGCATTAGTCTTAGGTGTGGTATTTGGGATTTATACAGTGACAAAAGCAAATGCATTCTTCACTGGCTGTTACAGATTAAATGCTGTGGCTTACTGCCCTTAGTTTATTTTAAATGAAAATAATTATTCAGTTACTTTTCAAACACTACCAACAAATTAGGATTATTTGCGGGGCGCCTGGGTGGCTCAGATGGTTGAGCGTCTGCCTTCGGCTCAGGTCATGATCCCAGGGTCCTGGGATCGAGTCCCGCATCGGGCTCCCTGCTAGGCGAGGAGCCTGCTTCTCCCTCTGCCTCTGCCTCTCTCTCTCTGACTTTCATGAATAAATAAATAAAACATTAAAAAAAAAAGAAAAAAAAATTAGGATTATTTGCTTTCTAAAGAATTTTTTTTTAAAGATTTATTTATTTATTTGACAGAGACACATCGAGAGAGGGAACACAAGCAGGGGGAGGGGGAGAGGGAGAAGC